TTCCCCCCCCCCCCCTCCACCCATCGGCCAAAGCTCCTCGGGCAAAATAACCCCAACAAAATAGGCCTAGTTTTTCCATCCCAGCCATCTAGAAGTCCTATTCTTTTTATTTAAATGTCGTTTTGTAAAAAGGAGACACCCCCACCCATACCCACCCAAGGCTCGGGCCTTCGGTTATAGATAAAACCATAAATACTTAGCCCTCCAGTCGGACATCTTAGCCCCCCATAAATTATATTCTAGAGCCGGCACTGCAGCAAAAGTCATCTATAGTCATGCACTCCCATAAACAACAATGTCGTTTATGTCGGGATAAATCTGAACTGATAGATACTCTACCATCTTATCATTCCAGACACTCTGAAGAAGCTATAAAAATTCACAAACACGATCGATACAGAACATCGAGATATTGGATTTGTCATCAACGACATTTGGTTGTCCATGATTAATCGGACCTAAACCAATACACACTTTTCCTGCCATACTTTTCCCGCCACACTGGAAATTCCTTTCGCAAGTAGTCTTAGCTATTGATTAGTTTTCAACCAATCACCAGCAAGTCTCACCAACTAAAACATTTCACAGTTTTTGGATTTCTGCAGATATTATTTTCTGAAGAAGATTGAAGCAAATCGATCAAAATATCAAGATATATTGCCATTTTTTATGTTTTTTAACAATGAATAAATTATAACGTCATCCGTTAAAGTTAAGGTTAACGTCGTGCATTGAAAACTTCCAAATAATATATTGAGAAATAAAGTTCAAATTGCAACAAAAAAGACAAGTTTTTAAAAGTATAGAGTTAAAAAAATATAAACACGAAAAACCTAAATACTTAAAACACTAAAAAATAACAAGGAAATCCAATTTCACAACTACTGCGACGTTAGTTAGAATAAAAATATTGCTGCAATGGTAATAGTGAGATACATCGAGACTTAAAATCATTGCCGCTTTATGAGCCGACTTGTATACCAGTGCATATTCCGTTCATAGAGATTCAGTGACTGCAAGCAAAAATGTTCATGCCTATCACGGTAGTTTTGAGTGTAACTTAACTGCAGTTGGTTTATAGGGTTGAGTCTGTCTCCACTGCTGATCGTCGCTAAAAAATGATCATTCAAATAAGGTGTTTAATAATAAATAATATGTCAAACATTCAGTTCGCATCATAATACCCTACACTATGTACAGAAGAAGAGAAGCCAAACATGTGACGTTCTCTCGGATATTCTCTACTTGTCACACCATAAAAGTTGGTTCCGAATAAAATAAACATCAGCTCTTACTTCAGCTGCTTGAAAGCTTTAATTTCTTCTTAAGTCTAAAGCCTGTCGTTGGAGTTTAAGCTGTACTCCTATGACCATGGTCAAACTAACTCCACTTGGCTCTCATATATGAGGTTCCTAGCTATCAGCAAACATCATTTAGGTAGGCTTCACTATGCCTTTCAACTTTGCTTAATTTTAGTGCACCTTAATAGCTGACATGTCCCTGCTTGGATCATATTCCACAGCTTACACCCTTCCATTAAGCCTTTTCTTATGCAACTAACTCTCCTTTCTGGTTTCTCTACCAAGCCTACCCCTGCTAACACAAATTAACATATTCCCCCCACCCATTTTCCCTACACTTATCAGAAGTTGCCACTTGCCTAAAAGTTGTGTATATTCATGAAACTTTCAACTACTTTGGATTAATGCCAAATCAACCATTAACTCATGCATATTCATTATACTGATTCTACACAGTGAACTCAACCATTAGATCATGAATGTTTATTACTCTAATGCACTATACAGTGAGTGTAACACATTATAAGGTCCACTCTGTGACATTTACCCCCCCCCCCCTTTTAATTAAATGTTGCACATTTAATTACACAATAACATTATAATTTTAAAAATCATAACAACATTAAAACAATACTCGCTCGTACCCGTTTCATTTCTACTCTCTCACATCATCCACTCCATATATTTGGGTCATGTAATCAGCATCTACACACTGGCGGCCTTTAATAATATGCAATTTATATCTATAAGGCTGCAATGCCAATGCCCATCTCATTATTTCGTCTATTAGTAACTTTATATTTCGGCATACATAACAGTGGCTGATGATCGGTTTATATGACAAATTCTCGCCCGTACAAATATGGTTCAAATTTCTGAATTGCCCATACAATCTCTAAGCATCCGCGTTCAATAGTCGCATAACTACGTTAAGCTTGATTCAGCTTCTTACTTATAAAAGCTATTGGAAACTCGTGTCCATCACACTCCTGTAAAAGGAATTCACCCAACGCGATATTTGATGCATCAGCACGTCTAATCCAATGTAACATTCTGTTGACCTAGCTGTGAGATTTGCCTCTTTCAGGCGTATGAAAACATTTGAGAGTGTTTCAATAATATGTTCTTCCCACGTTTCAGTAAATACAAGGATGTCATCTATATAATTTACAATATGATGCAACCCACACAATAACTTTCTCATTATTCGACTCAAGTAAGGCAGTCAGTGGTTTAGCCCTATCTGATAATGGGACCTGCCAATAACCCTTGCTCAAATCTATTTTTGAGAAATAGCGGGCATTAGCTAACTGAACTAATACATTCTCTTGCTGAGGAATTGGTTCAGCATCAAATACGGTAACCAAATACAGTTTTCGCATGTCTACATAAATTCGGTGTCCCCCGTCAGGTTTTTTCACCGTAACTAAGGGAAGGCAATATGTGCTAATAGAAGGTTCAATCACTTTCATTCTCAACATTATCTCCACTTCATCATCAACAATTTTCCGAGGAGTGTACTGAACTGGATATGGTTTCGTCCGGATAGGAGTCAAATCAGTCAACTGAATATCAAGGCACCCTACATTAGTTCTACCGGGCATATCTGTTAGTGTGTTTTCAAAACGACCCAAAGGCTCACTCAAACTTGTTTGTTGCTCCGTAGTCAAATCTTCACCAACATATACATCAACTACATATTCCTGTCGAACCATTACAGGAAAGTCAATGGAGTTCATGTATTTTTCTCTCACTTTCCTCATTCAAAGGTCATCTTCATTTATTATCGCAGCACACGACATTTCGAGAATGCTACCCACCAGTGGTTCTACAGGTCTCTGATAATATTTCTTTAAGAGATTTGCGTGAAATGTTTTTTCTCTTGTTCCCAAGTTAATAGTGTAGTCCATTACACTTACATTCTTAGTTATTGGAAATGGGCCTTTCCAGTGCATTAATAATTTATTCTTGTCAGTGGGAAGCAGTAACAACACTTTATTTCCAACTTGATATTTTCAGTCGTAGTACATTTGTCATTATGATTTAGCTTTAGAATAATGCAAAATGTTAATCTATTTTATCATGGACAACCAAGGTTTGCGGAGGCAGGGATCTTGCTACGTGATAGCTTTCAACGACAAGAAGAGCAAGTAAATACTGTCCTGGAAGTTAGCCCAGGATAGCAGGTCTTAAGGCTGATGAACTGCTACAGCATCGGAAAATATACACAGCAATTTTTTTTAACGTCATGTTTCTTCATCGATTCGTAAAATCATTAAATATTACGATAGTCTTATTTATCCTACCTACCTGTTGTCTGTTTTTACACGACAGGCGGCGTACAAAGAGATTATGTTTCATGAAGTTAGGTTGGGTGCCTTACACTACAGTATGCGACTCAAGGATATGGAACCATAGGAACATTGTGAAATCGCCTGCAGTGCCTCACTTTGGTAACTTTTTGAATAAAAATTACTGTACATTATGTTTTAGAGTGGCGCTGATATTTTTGGTGTAGTGCAGTCTTCGTAATTTTTGCCTAAGCATGGCAATCATTTCATTTTCTCGCCAAAGCGTGGCGGTCCCGGAACGCTAAAATATAACTGGCGAGACCACTGATTCTTGATTTCATATATTATAATTTCATTTTTTTTTTGGCCAAAAACATGCTTTTGAAGAAATTCTAAGTAAACATTAGTTTTTATGGAAAAGGGTGTATTAGAGAAAGTAATAATGTGTGTCTTCTGAACAGTTTGACACAAAAATCATTTGAATAGACCAAAGTATTAGGAATATATGACACTTTTATTTTTTTCAAAAGTCAAGGTACAATATGCCAAATCATATTTCTAGTATCTTGTATTTTGTACACCTACAACGTGTTCTAATATTATGCCAAAAGTCACTACTGTAGAATCTCAATAAACATAATGCCATGTTATGTCAAGGCCTAATAATGAACTGTATTTTTCAGAAATAGCCTATAGTTTTTAGCTGTATTTGCCCAAAAACACAATTTTATGAAATTTTTCAGTAAGCATTTATTTTAATAGAAAAAAAGTTGTATTAGAGGAAATAGAAATGTATGTCATTTTAAACAATTTGACACCGAAGTAATTTCTATAGACCGTTGTAGAGATATGACCATTTCATATTTTTGCCATAAAACAAGATGTTATAAACAATCACGAGAAGCATTGAGTTTCATGCACGAAAGTGTATTAGAGCAAATATAACTTATGTGTTTTGAGAGATTTGATATTAAAATGTATTCAATACACTAAAGAGTTCAGGAATATGGCAATTTTATTTTTTAATAAAGATATTACAATTAAGGTCAAGGGTCACAGATTTCAAATCAGAATTCCAGAAGCTTAGATTTGGTATCCCCACATATCATGCCCTATGACCATGCAAAATGGGCAAATTTGTTTCCAGTATTGTAACAACCCATCAAATGTTGTAGGCTTAGGCACTAGAATAACTCGTCTCAGAGTGGGGCTCCAGTTTTGTGTACTTTACCAGTCTATAATTTTGTTATATTACAGACGATTTGATAGATTTTTCAATACGTTTTACATCAATCACACCACTTATTTTAAGTGGTGTGTCGATCAAGTGTCGATTGAAACTTCTAAATGGGATATTTTTTGTTAGTTTGGCATATTAGTATCATCTTCAAGTAAGCTTAAAGCTTTCTCTTCATGCGATGTAGCATCATCACCACCGTAGCTTTTCTCTTATCAGCAGGTATTATCAATATACCATCATCCTTCATCGGTTCCTTAACAACATTTACAACCATATCCCTTAATTCTGCTGCCTTGTTGTCACATGCTGATACAATTCTCCAGATGACACATTTAACCTCTATTACTTTTTCACACTATTTCTAGGTGTCATCCTATTATTTGCAGAAATAACAGCGTTATTTCTCCCGTTAGTTAGATGTTCAAACTTTTTGGCGACCATTCAAAATGGCGTGTTTAGTGAGTTGTTTTGTTTCAATGAACATCTACATTTTCCGGATATCAAATACCATTAATTCTGCACGTGATTTCCATTTATCCTGATGTTTCCTTTTTAAAATATTGAAATCGCGTCTAATACAATTACGAAGATCCATACGTAGCGGTTTATATATTAAATACACAGTTTTAAAAACGTCTACGCTACAAATTTTGTGTACAAACAATAGCACTTTCGGTGTTTGTAATGACTGTGATCATCTGGTGTAGCATATTTTTCAACTGATATCACAGTTTGATCTTTGACGTCATCATCACCTATGACGTCATATGAAATTGCTGTACAATAGCAGCCTGACCAAAGTATTTAAAAACACTGAAGACGTCGGTAGGTCCTGTGAAAGCACTATACTAAGTGAAAAACATTCGTAGCGTAGACGTTTTCAAAACGGTGTATTTAATATAATAATCACTACGTATGAATCTTTACAACAAGACAAAATATAGAAAACTATTTTTTTTTTAAATGGTAATGAAAATATAGAAAACTATTTTTTTTTTTATAATTTGCACTAACTGTTGGAATTTTCATTACTCATTGTAATTAGGATACTAAGGAAAGTGGCCGAACCTTCATTGTTCCTTCTCGATTGAAAAATGATGAGAACGGCAGTGGCTTGAAAGTAAAGAAGGATGAAAAACAGACGGTGTCGATATATGTGACTCCAACAGATTTTCTCCCTGATGCTGTCTACGACATATTGGTTGTTGCTTTTGTTAAATGGATGAGGTTAAAGGGGAGAAATGAACATGCAGAATTATTTCGGAATCGTAGTGACTTTGACTTATACGATGATCATCTGGTGAGATTGGGCGCTGTTAAAATCAAGAACATGAACGTTTTAAAGGTAATGCAAACTTTCAGATGTATCACACACAAATAGTGGTGATCGTAATGTATAAAATAATGATGCTGATGTTGGCGATAGGATAGCGATGTTTTATGGTGTTGGTGATGTAACTGATTATGTATTTATTTACTTGTGTATTTCTATGTGTCTAATATCATCAATATTCTGTTTAACATTAATTGTAGTCATTACCTCCCGAAGAAGGTTTTTTTTTTTACTTAATTGTTTTTGTGTGTGTTGGTGTGTGTGTGTGTGGGTGTGTGTGTGTGTGTGTGTGTGTGCGTGTGTGTATGTGTGTCTGTCGGTTTTTAGCAGGCTCATGGTCTACATATGCACGTCTACCTTAACGACAGATATTACCACCCGTAATTAATGTATTTTAGTTGTTTCTATGACCTTTTGAAATTGTATTCATTTGTTATGTTTTTTATTTAGTTACAATGCTATTTTTTGCCTATTCTCTTAAAGAAATGGCTTATGGTATTATTTTGAGTGAATTATGATGTCATCTGTCTTTCTATCAGGGCCTTCGTTCGTGATACAATGTGGCTGATTTTGCAATATATACAAGAGAAGGCTTAGGAAAATTAAAGGAAATTGTATGGTTTTTTTTTGGTTTTTTTGGGTTTTTTTTTATTACTTACTGTTAGAATGGGTTTTGTATGTGTTCGTCGCCGTCAATAGGTAGATTGCAAAAATTCTCCATATTCCACATTGTGTAAGCCTATATCAACCAATCATGGACTGGAATGGTAAATTTGACGACTCAGGTGTGAACATCAACGTCCCCTCTGTTACATCCGCGTTGTGTATGACGTCATACACATTACATAAAGGTCCATAAAACATACAGATGTATTAATGTGGTGGTGCTGGCAACGTAAACAGTCCGTGCGAATAAAGTAGTTTTTGCTAGCCATGAAAAGAACCTCGATTCATCGGCCTAGTTCTCTTCGCTCATGTGCACGGCCATGTTATGCATCATCTGATAAAAAAAACAAGTGTGTTTGTTGTCAAATCAAAACCGTATTTGTTATCGTCAAGGCTAGAATGAGGTCCTTGCAGTTCTTTCTTTCGCGATGCTATCCTTCCCTACCCTCTCCTCTAGGCTGAGTGGGAGGTCCAGTCAAAGAGAAAACAATTTAGGCCTTGTTAATAATTATATTTGTTTACGTTTAATAATTTGTAGGTCAAAAGTTTCAGGTTATTTTTATTTTTTTATTTATTTAATAGCACAAACGGCCCAGGAGCTGCAACAAAGCACTATAACACCACATGTGATTCCCACAGCCCTTGGAACATGAAACAGGGTACAATGAAAATGACGATTATCAAAATCTGGGCAAGCAATTATTTATAGAGACATTAACAATTTTAAAAAGAATTGACAATTGATACAATATAGTGAAAATTACATTTTTGAAAAAGGAGTGATATATAAGAAAGTATAATTACACATAAAATGCTATTATTCAAATATCCAAAATAATGCATAATCAAATATTTAAAAAAAGAACATAAATACAATCTTGAGATACAGTAATTAATTAAAAAAAAAAAAGGAAGAAAAAAGAAACATATGAAAAGTACATACACTTTCAAAGTAAGATCAAAACCACGAAAGAGAAAAATAATTAATCAATAATTAAACCAAATTATCGTTCAGTCAATAAAAATTGCTTAGTTTAAAAAAAAAAAGGTTTAAAGGAACGTGTAACGGCAGAATCCTGGAGTTCGGAGGGTAGTGAAGCCAACTGAATTGGAAACTATTAACGGGTGAAAATTTACAAGCATTAGTAAAATATACTTGATGAATAATAATATTTAAAGTTTCTAACTGTTGGGGATTTACTTGAACATTATTAAAAAATATACTATTGCATTGTGTTAACCTGTAGAAACAATGGAAAGTAAATGAAATCATAGTAGTGAGTCGTCTGTCTCTAAGAGAAAGCCAGTTGACAGTAATAAGTCAATCATTGTAATTGATGGGACCACAAATAATTCTCCTGGAGACTCTCGGCTGTACTTTTCCAAGACGAGTTGCATGATATTGACACTGAGGTCTCCATGCAAGAAGTCCTTTTATCAAGATCGGTAGAACAAGCGATTTGTAAAGATGAGACATGGCATCGGGTGAACAACCGAACAAATTAAACATGTCGCACGTTTGATAACATTATCAATATGACATTTCAAATTTAGATCACTGTTCATGTACACACCAACATTATGGGAAACATCGTTATCAAATAAAATTATTATAATCGGCCCAGAATTGACAGAAAGGGCAGAAGATGTGAAACCCTTAAAAACAACCTTTTGTTTTTTTTTTTATCAATGAGCCATGATGACATAAATTTCCATAGACATCCATGAATATTACAATTCGTAACAAGTTTACATAACAAGATATTGATTGACATTTTATCATTCGCATTACTCATGTCTAAAATACAGTATCGACAATATCAGCAGAGCCATGTTTTTAAGCAGTTTAGCCCATTAAAAATATATGTCATTAAGTTGAGTCACGCATGATTTGCCTTTAATGAACCCGTATTGGTTGAGATAAAGCAGACAATACTCATCAACAAATGAATTTACATTGTGAATAATAAGTTTCCAAAATCTTACAAATCAACCATAACAATGAAACTGGTCTATAGATAAACATAGTAGGCTTGTCATCAGATTTGTAAACGAGTACGGTGTTTGCACAATTCCAGTCCCAGAAAACAGTGCCAGTGCATGAAGACGTACGAAGAAGTTTCCACAAAGGACAGGCAATTGTGCTAGCAATTGGTTTTTATAATTTAGCAGAAATAAAATCTAGACCTGGCGCAGAATTTAGTCAAAATGAGATTGTAGTAACGATGTCGTCTGCAGCGCATCAGATAATTTGTAAATTGGATGTTTACAAATAGGCGGATCCCTGTAATTAAACCCAACATTAATATCAATATATACTGAAGTGAAGTAAGTGTTAAAACCATAAAAATATCATGCATATTCGATGAAACGGTATAGTTTACCGAATTCACAAATGTATTTGTTAGGTTTGAAGTACGTTTACAAACAAAAACTATTTTTTTTTTCTTTTATTATTATCAGATTTAAGCAATTCGTTTATATAATTCTTATGGGGATTCTTTATTGCGTATGGACCTTGTGCGTTATTTCCTATGTACCGTACTTCAAAGTGTTCAGTATACTTGGATCTTTTTCAAATTAAAATTCAAGTTTAAACTTATCTTTATTGCAATTTGACAAGATATATAAATCTACAACAATTGAAGTAGAACAATAATTGCAGAAAATATAAATACGCAGATAAAAAGTTCTACAATTACTTTCAAAAGTTAAAAAAATAAAAATCCCTAAAAGATAATTAAAACAAAGTTACAAAATACTTTGGTCACTGAACGGCGCACCCGAAATTACCAGTGTTTTAAAATACTATGATTAAAAATATATATATTTTTTAGATCTTTCTGTTTTAACTTTGGTGAGTAGTAGCCGATTTATTTTCCTAAAATGATAATTAATAGCCAGTTCTATTGACAAGAGATCATGCAGTCTGTGGGTTGGATGTTTAATTTTTTTTTTTTAAGTATTGTATCGGCTGCGGCGTTTGGTGAGGTCGGGGAGATCAGAAATTGCTAGGGCTTGATTGTAACTAACCCAGGGGATGATAATGCGAGGCGCTCTTCCTTGTATTATTTTTTTCTAGGGCTATGGATTGTACACGGGATTTTATACAAGTACCCCAAACAGGAACGGCGTACTCCATGAGAGGGCGGATAATAATGTAAAATTGGATCAGTTCTCCAGCCATGCTCTACGTAGTTGTTTTAGAAAAAATAAACGAGTATAAGTCTTCAATATGCAAATTCCAACAAAAGAAATCGTGAAAATTGTAACCCCGCTTCGAATGGGTCACGCTGGATATGATTGCACACTGGATATGATTCCAGACAAACAGAGCAAACTTTGATTTTCAAATTTTATTGCTAATTCTCATCTCAATTAGTTTTTTTTTTATTTTTTATTTTTTTGGTTCGGAGTTGACCAATGGGAAACAGCGTCAAGAATTGAGTTAGTAAAATGTTATCTTTGATCTGTTTCCAGATAAGGTCACCGATGATACTCTCAAAAACCTTTACGACGGATGAAGTGATGAAAATTATCCTCAATCGATTTAGGCGGCGATAACTTTGGGATAGGAAGTACGTCTGCCAACTTCCAAATATCGTTGATATAACCTTCCATTAAGCTGAAATTTAGAATTGCACAAAAAGGCTTCAAAAGTGTATTAAAATTGCCTTTGAATATCCAGGGAATGTCCCAGGTCCTTAAACCTTTAACATTACGAATTTCGATCACTAATGGTTCGATGATTAGATGATATTTGAAGGGTCGATTCACAATTTCGGGGTTTGCACCTAGGTCTTATGTGTTTAAAATCCTTATTTAAAGATTGGAAAAAGGTGTTTTAATTGGCTAAGAGCAAATCATTACCCTCAAACAGTTCATTGGCAATTGCTTTAAGGGTGTGATTATTAGATTGGTCAGATTTTTTTTTTAAATGCTTAATGCCTTTCCACCATTATTGTGAATCGGAATCAAATAATCTACTTAAACTGTTCCTGTAATGTTTAGAGCGGAATGACTTCGATTTGCGTTTAACCTTATTCCGCAACTTTTTTAAATTCACTCAATATCCCCGATTTAACTTCAGGAGTCCGGTTTTACGCGTAAACTTCAAAAACTATCTGCTTGAGTGGATATTTAGTAAGTTGGGTGTCCTATATCCGATCGGAATCACCAGCCGCCAGGAACATTGTGTCAGGAAGACGGCTGCAAGTAAAATCCAAACAACTGCTAATATGACATGACACATTCCAATCATTTTGGTCTGGGGCTTTCAGGTTTGTAGCTCACTTCCTTATTGTTTGATTTATGCGAATGTTCTTAAGGGTCCACAATTCCCCACC